CCTCCTCCTCCTCCTCCTCCTCCTCCTCCTCCTCTTCTTCCTCCTCCTCCTCCTCATCGACTTCCTTCTCTTCCTTCATTTCTCCTGCTTCGCCATTCACTTCATCCTGCTCCTCTTCGTCCGCCTCTCTCTTCCGTTCCTCGTTGTTTTCCCGCGCTTTTTGTCCCTCTCTTGGGCTCTGCAGCATTGGGTCCAGCGCGAGCCTTCGGCCAGCGTCGAGTGCATCCACGAAGCCGCAGTCCAAATCTCTGCTGCACGAGGAGTGTGTGTAAATCTGAGAGCCCACCGACCCGGTAGGCCAGACATCCAGAACGAGGGTCTCCTTCGACGAGGAGACCGTCGAGTGGGTGGCCGGACAGGCTGGCGACTGGCAGAGTTGAGGATCGCGGTTGAATGGCTCCGTGCCCAGTTTGAGGACGTTGAGGCGACAGTCAACATCGAAGTCGATGGCAAAGGTACGAGAGTGGTAGCCCCGTGGACTTGAGCTGTCGGCAACTGAGTGGAGTGGGAAAAAACATGAATACAAGAGATGGTTGGAAAAGGGAGAATTATGAGATTGCCAGCATGTACAGCCAGATGACAGCGAGGCCATATAGAAGTCCTCTTTAAATATCTGACTCGAAATATCTACTACTTATAAAAGATATAAGTAGCATGGCTTATTTTAATGGAGAAAAAAAACAGGATTGCCATTGACGAAGGACTAGCAGTTGGATTTTCTCACAATCTGATGAGTAGGCCTTAGGTTTCCCTTGTATTTCACATGTCCTTGCCTTCCAAGCCGTATTCTCATCCAAGCTGGACTCGAAACTGGGCTGCGGAAACTCAACGTATAGCTTCGACATGTACACCTCTGCAGCTATCTGCTACGAGTGTGGAATGTACCTCGTCCACGGTCCGACTTTAGAAATGATGATGCATACAATGGACTCCGGACTAGGCGCGTTCCTCTCAATCTTCCTGCCAAAATGACCAAGTTGCAAAAACCAGGTCAAACAACGTGTATACAACGAAAGAAGACTGCGACCACTCAAAAGGCCACACCATCTTGGTCTTCATACCTTCGATTAAAATTCTATATTGTTTTGTAGAAAAAGTGAATTTCCAGAAATTCTTTAATATAATGATTTTGGAGCAAAGATCTACAGTCAAATATCCAAGGCGAGTAAAGACAACTCGTGAATCCCTTCCACTTGCGTTTTCAAACAAAAGGACTTTCATTTCGTTTCAAAAGGATTCGCAAATTGGCCACACCCGATACCGAAGGAGGCTTGCCTTGGACTTGTGATTGTAGGATTGTGCGAATAAGAACTCGGCTTACCTTCCTACGACCCCTAGCTTGCGTCAGCCATGTTATGAACATCTTCAAAGACAAAAACGTTTGTTAACAATAAAATCACCAAAAAACCCGAAACCAAGAAAGCTGACTGGCTGAAATTCTACTGCTTATGCCAAACTGTGCGATCTTAATGAGACATTCCAAGATTTGTTTTTCGTATATAAGTTGGCTTTCAGGACTACCGGTAGATCATATATATGAGATGTATTCATCCTATTTCATTTTGGGTGATAATTCGATAAGGATTATATAAATGACCTTCTAGTAGTCTCGAAAGGCTACTTATAAACTAAAAATAAGTAGAGTAGTCGATTGGTATAGCAAGTACAACTTTGCATCATCGACATCCAACCACAGAATGTGGTATGGGAAAATGTCTGGCCTTCCTTGAAGTTCACATTTGCCCTGTTACCCAAGGGTCATCGTGGTAATGTGGTGTGTCATAATTCTACTCTGCTGGGAGTGTTGATATGACCAAGAAGAGTTTGAAACTGCAGTCCATCCCTGCCGATATGAGAATTCTTTTTGGAAAAAACGAGGCTATGAAAGCGCCGCGGCTATTCATATCATTGTTGGAAAATTCTACTACCAGTCCCGTTATGACCCTAAACAAAATAGTATGAATACATTTCACATAATCCATGATTTGGTTGGTTGCTCTATGCTTGTCCTGCCTACATGTAGACGAATGAAGATGTGGTCAAAACCTTTTTTATGTGAATCCTTGGACTTGTTTGAGCTTCGAGGATGCGTGTGCATTGTGTGTGTGTGTGTGTTTGTGTGCAACAAACACAGATTCCAGGTTAGTTAAGTCGTCTCATCTTGGTGGCTCTTGCTGTTCCCTTTCTTTCTCCATCTCTCCTTCTTTCCCTTTAATTCTATCCAGCAGCCAGACATAGTTCTTGCATAGTTTCCTAAACTCGTTTATATTATTCAGGATGTTCCTTGTTTTCCCAATTTTAATCGACTCCCTAATCCCCCCCTCCCATATCCGGCAAAACA